TTGGACAAGAGAGTTTGGTTGTAGTGCAGGAAAAATGACTGTAGCCAGCTGGCTCTGGATTTGGGGGTACATAAAATGTTTTGTGTAATTTAACAGATGCAATGGTTTATGGAGAGTAAAAATAACTTGGTTAGGTTTGATGAATACATGTGTAAACACAAGACAGATTCGTTGGCTGACTCAAGAATGTGAATTTCAAAGTCTTATTTTGGATTCACAAATATCTTTAATAATCTGCATTGTTACTTTAATGGTTTCTACAGTGAAGTGGCTCATGACTGAAGTTTGTACCTAATTCAACAATCTGCCAGTTCTTCGTTCTGTCTGTCTTTCCTCTCTTCCCCGCCCTAGATGGGCATGACAAAGGGAAGTCTGAAAAGGCTTATTTGTTCACTCGCTGGTCCCTTTCTTTGGCCATCCTCTCCATGGTGGAAGGTCGATGTACAAAGGTCAGCTTCCAGGGCCCCTACCATAAACACTCTGACCTCACAGCCAAATCACTTTTCCAGAGAGGGCCACCAGATCATGTGTCACTTTTATGAACTTTTGGTCTGGCAAACCTGATGTTGTGTGTCACCTCCCTCTTCCGTAAAATGTGTGCTCTTTAAGAGCGAACACTGTAGATGGACAGAAGTATGTTTCCAGCCTGATTTCAAAAACCTTCCTTAAAAATTGAGCAGATATTTAAAGTACCACACCACAGCAGGATCCCAGAATGTACTGGTTAGCTCCTTGTTAGCGTACTGTAGCATATGTTAGCTATTTTAAATAATGCACTAAAACAGGTTACAATTCATGAACCATTCACTGTAATGAACTCATTTAGGAAGTATATTTGAATTTCATTGAGTGGAATAAGTCTGCAATTTGATCAAGGAGTTGACTGCTTAAGTTTATGGTTTTGCTCACTTAAAAGCCAGTTTTTATTGCTTTAAATGTATTTGCTTTAATCTTATTAAATACAAAATGGTATATTGCTTACAACTTTGGCTTTACTAAAATGAATACACATGTTTTATATTTAACTTTTGAAGTATTTTAATGTTTATTCTTCATATTTTAATTAATAGTTTAAAATACTCTTTCATCCTTTAACCTCCAAAGCAATTTCATTAATAATAAAACAAAAATAAACCCTCTTCCCAAAATCAAACCAGGTATTAAAGCATTCTGTAGTTTTTAATATATATATATCACATCATTTACTTTTCATTTACATTTATGAAGAAAGACATTCACACTCAATTTTTTAATGATTAAAGTTATTTGATAACTGGTGTTTATGTGTATTGTGTAAACTTTTCTAATCATGATTTTGTTCAATGCCACAATTAGCCTTAATAAGCTAAATATACATGCTTCACATCTGCAAATTATGTTATTGTAAGAGAAATACACTAAGTATGATAATTTTTGGCTTTGGGGTTACAAATATTTATCCATATTTTAAAAAATGTATACTCTACTCAAGTCTATTGATTTCTCAGTATATTTAGGTGACTGCCTAAATTTGTATCTAACAAAATTAATTCAAAATTCTTTAGTAGTAAAATTCCCCCCAAAATTCTAACTCTGATTTGGAAATGACAACTAAAACACTGTAGATGTATTTTATGTTCAATAAAACAGTTGAGAATCCACAATATATTTGACTTTACAAATCGGAGAAACAGATTTCCACATGCTACTAGCTCTGATAGATTCAGTAAATTTTACTGAAATTTTTATACATAACTAGCAGTTCTGATATTCTAGAAGCTTGTGGCCTATGGGAATATTATGTAGATGTGAAGGAAATAATATGTAATTTACCAAATATGCAATTTCCAGTGGTAGGCAGGCTGTCATTATCTTACAAGATGAAATACCTTATAAATTTACTTATGGCTAGTGACAGGTGATTAAATGTTGTAAATAGTTGTAAAAAAAATAGTGTGCTTTTTTTTTTCTAGCTTGAATTCACCAGTGAAGTGAATGAAAAAATGGGAAAACCAAAGCGTGAAATGACAGAAGCCTACATTTAGAGCACAGGGGGGAAAACTCCAGAAACTGGACTTTCAGGCATGTTGTAGTTGTGCAATGCTCACAGAGGTAGTGCTCTGTCCTATTTCCACAGACCCCCACAGAAGGATATGAATCACTCATCCCCTTTAGTTACGTTGATTAAAATTAGAAAGCTAATAAGACTGATAATTATATCTGCCTTGCTTATGTCCATTTTTATTTCAATGTGGAAGAAACTTGGTACAAAACCATCCTGGCTCATGTAATGAGTGGCAAGCTCAACACTGGCAAGCTCATGAGATGATCTTTTTTATGTGATTGCCCCGTCTGAGCAAAGTACAGCATCTTCCCATGGACTCGTTTTGGAGGGGTGAAAATCTGTCACTTCTTACATTGAATAGTTTTTCTTCCCTCCCAGCAGCATTTCCAGTGGCTGGCCATCTTTCATGGGAGTACAGCATTCAGATGAGGGAGGCCATCCAGTCTGCTGAGTTCACTTACTAGCTCTCTCACACCAGGTCCCCCAGTGCTCTCATGTCAAATTTGAGGCTTGACAATGGTCAGATTTGAGAGCAGGCACTGAATAGTTGGCTCTATAAATGTTAAATTTGGGAATGAAAAGGGACTTCACTATTGCCTCTGAGTAGTTTATTCTTAAATGCAAATAACGCTGGGAGGACACATTGAGTTGTTATAGGTCGCCTCTTCCTTACCGCAAAGGTATAAATTAGGCTCTTCTGTGGCTGACTACTTTAGGTGGAGTCTCTGAGATAAACTGTCAGATCATTTGAAACACAGTTTGTGGTACTAGGTGAGGATGATCAACTTTGAGGGGCTAAAGAGATATTAGGAAAGGGTCATTTTTAGGCAGTTGATAATGGCCAGAATAGCTAGCATTTATAGAATGCTAACCACGTGCCAGACCTTACCATAAGGTTCTTTACATACACTGACCCTTCACAAAAACCTTATGTAGTCGATTCTATTACTATCCCTTTCTACAGGTGATGAACTAAAGTAAGAGAGGTTAAATAAACCCAAGGTCACGGTAAATGACAGTGGGGATTTGAACCCAGGTAGCCTGTCTCTAGAGCAGCAGTTCTCAATCTGTGGGTCGCGACCCCTTTGGCGGTCGAATGACCCTTTCACAGGGGTCGCCTAAGACCATCCTGCATATCAGATATTTACATTACGATTCATAACAGAAGGAACATTACAGTTATGAAGTAGCAACAAAAATTATTTTATGGTTGGGTCACAACATGAGGAACTGTATTTAAAGGGCCAGAAGGTTGAGAACCACTGCTCTAAGGCTTAAGCAATACTGTCTATTCACCTGGTTCCTTGTGAAGAACAGTGAAAACCTGGTGTGAAAACTAATAATGGTAAAAGAGCCCAGAAAAAAGAGTGTAAGAGGCCCACCAGCTAAATCACATAGTTCAATTTTGCTTCAGATCAGTTTTACAATCATTTCTGGGAAGGAGATGGTCTTGCTCTCAATTTCTCCCAGAATTAGAAATCTGTGTCTTATTTCAGCTCTGTTAAGACATGCCATGTTGGACAAGTTTAACTTTTTACTATATCTCAGATTGATTTACAAATAAACAAATTGGTTCTATGAAAAAATAAATCTATTTACTTTTAAATGTGAAGTACTCATTCTATCTGATGGTGTCTACCATTGGTTTTGATAACTTATTTTTGTTTAATATTTTGCTTAATATTTGGAAACAACCAAAAAAGCCAAGTAGCCCAAATAAAACTACCCTTTAAAAAAGCCTGTGGAGAAGGATATTTAAAACAGGTAAACTTTTAAATAATCATTTTTATTTCATTATATGTCTTATCTTCAAGGTAAGGTGGAAAGTTGGTGAGATTGTCTAGATAATTCTTAAGGAAAGATTGACTATTTGTGTCCATATGCCCTGATAAATAAGAACAAGAATGGCTAGTCTGCCCTAACATATGTGGGTTTCTTTGATTCATTGACTGATTGATTGACTACTTTTTGGCATTAAATCTATTTTTCTCCTAAATCCTCAGGAAAATTTACAATGAGCATATAAGTCAACTGTGGTTTCTAAAAATTTGCTTTTGTTTTTAAATTGAAAGACATTTGGCAAATTCTCTGTTCTAAAAATGGCAATTTAGGAAGGAACATTCTGGGATTGATTTTAGGGTCATGCTTCAGTTCTAAATTTCACTTTGCCAAGAGATATTGGTCACATTCCATCAGCTTGTGCTGTGCTTTGGAACTTGGAACTTCCCATCACTGAAAGTCATTACCATATATTGCTCTGGGAAATAACTGTGTAGCTGTCAGTAGTTTCCAGGAAAATTATTCTACTCACTTTCCTGTTCTGAATCAACAAACAGGTTTGTTATTACTCAAGGGGTTACTTATACAAATCAGGCCCCTGGATAAATGTCTCTATGATGAGGTCCAGCCTGGGGAGTAGGAAGAGTGGGAATAGGGTTGGATCCATGAGAGTAGATACTTCTTTAAAGTTATGTGACAAGACTCAGCCAAAGCATCTCAAATACTGCTTTCAGAAGGGTTAGACTCTAATGTTCAAGGTAGCATAAATTGTTTCAGAGGGGTCAGACTTTTTGATGCAAATGTAAAGTTGTTTTTAGCCTAATATCCTTTGGAGGGACTGGTCTTCTGGATGATGGCACGTAGGTGCATGACCAAATTAATAGTAGTAGGTGGATAGCAGAAAGCCAGAGTCAGTTCATTCAGATGAGTCAAGACCTAATCAAGTGCCATAATCAAGTGCCTAATCAAGTGCCATATCAGCAAGGTAAAGTTGAAGAGCATTTGGAAAGAACCACCAATGCCAAGGTTTCTCTGCATGAAATATAGCACAAGTTCAGGCTTCTAAACTCTACATACCCCTGACCTTTGGCTCTTTTATGTCTCTATTTTTCTAGACTGACAGACCACATGCCAATGTGCAACCCAGAATCCCTCACCCTTGTGATTTATGGCTTACAGCTGCTTCAGGGTCTCAGACATGGCAGCTGCTTTTCAGATGTCTTCAAACCGGAGGGAGAGTGTTAATGTGAACTTGAGTGGCTGCAGAAGAGAGAAAGAAAAGTTGATGAAAAAAAATCATCTGAATGCAGCACCAAAGCTTTCCATTGATCTTTTCCTCCAGGGCCAAGCAAAATGTTTGGTTTATTTCCTAAGCTAATTAGGTGTGTGAAAGGCTACTTGGCATCTGCTATTGACTGAACCCAACAAAAGTGATCACCAGATTGGTTAATCAATAAGAGATCAATAGCAAGCATGTGATTGGATTAGTCATTTGATCAATGCTGTGTGCTAATATATTAACAAGCAAATTACTGAGCAACCCTTAAGAGCAGAATGCTGACTCTGATTGCATTACAAACTCATGCGATCTAATGACCCGCCAAGAGCAAGGGGTTACTTATACAAATCGAGATCTGACAGTATTTTTTTCTTGAAGATTTCCTCCCTCCTAAAGAAAATGCTTTCTTAAGGGAGATTCAAATTAAATTACAATTAGCAAGCAATTGCACTGGGACACCTAATTTCCAAGCAGGTATCATTCATAAGGAGGAGGGCGGGCTTGGGAAGTCCAGATAAAATAACCTAAAGAACTTTTAACAAAACCCAGGTAAATATCAAAAACGGCAAACACAAAGAATGCCAAAATAGTCGCTAATATTTTTTTCAACAACATTTTGGTAAATGAAGTCCCAGTTTGGATATACAGAGCTCTTTCATGATGGATCTAACAGTACTTGATCTTTATCAAAATCATATATGTCCTCCCAGCTCCCAATCTTGTTTTAACCTTTTACCTTAACTTTTTCAATCTCAAAATGGGTAAACAATGAGATACATCTCTCTCTCTGTGTGTGTGTGTGTGTGTGTGTGTGTGTGTGTGTGTGTGTCCACACACAGAGTGAAGGATTGTGTCTAACATGGAAAAGTGCACTTTCAAAAGAAAAAAGAGAAACTTATAAGCAATAGGATGTGAAGGAGTAAAGAGAATGTTCTCACTTTTTGACTCTTTGGAACTTGTTTCTATTATATGATTCTATAAGTGACTTTACAAGAGCCAAAAGCCACAACACTGAGCTTTTCCCCTGCCCTGCCTTCCCTCACCATTAGGTGAGCCATTTATTCAATTGACTGTGCTCCTTCTGATTCCCTCAGTGGAGACACCAGGCAAGCCTTTGCTCACTTCCCCTCTTAATCCTTTTCTTTTTAAGAAACGTTTTCTTCCCTTTGCCTCAGGGAACGCTGAATGGATTAGTTTGAATTCTCCAGTGTTATTTGCAGATTGGAAAGGTCTCCCCAGGCCTGGAGGCAGAGTGGCAGCCTGAGCAAGGCGGGGCGGGCTCCTGTGGTGTGAAGCCTCCAGTCCTGACAGGCTGGCCGCCAGGCCCAGGCAGGGAGCAGCTGACAAAACAGCCAGCCAGGCCGCTGGAGCTGAGGAGCAAGAGGGTAGAGGCTGTCAATCAGTATCACAGAAGTACAGTCAGGGAATATAATATCTGATGGAGCCTGTCAGTTTCAAGGCTTTAAGGTGAACCAAGGTTGGTTTCCTGAGGCTGAAATGCCTAGTAATTCAGGGGTATGTATTAGGGGCCACTTAACAGACAAATTCCATGGCTTTTAATTTTTTATACCTTCATACTGTGGAACCCAAGTAGCTACTTTTACTCCATCAAGAACACCTAATGGCCGAAACCGGTTTGGCTCAGTGGATAGAGCGTCGGCCTGCGGACTGAAAGGTCCCAGGTTCGATTCCGGTCAAGGGCATGTACCTGGGTTGCGAGCACATCCCCAGTAGGAGATGTGCAGGAGGCAGCTGATTGATGTTTCTCTCTCATCGATGTTTCTAACTCTCTATCCCTCTCCCTTCCTCTCTGTAAAAAACCAATAAAATATATTAAAAAAAAAAAAAGAACACCTAATGATGTACTTAATGAGAACTATTTTTTCTATTTGAATGGAACTGCTGCTATACAATTATCACAGTGATGGCAGTCCTCTCAGACTCATTCCTTCATGGTGTCGCCTTGTGTAGAAAGCCCTGTTCTATGTTTTTAAACACTTGTTGGGCCTACCAAAGCATAAGTACAGGGAGCTAGCCATATTCAGTTAAAGAGCTTACTTTCTTTAAATATGTCAGCACATGGGAGTATGAAGTCATCACATTTATTCTTGATGGAATCCAACCCAACACTTGCCCAGAGTGAGATTTTGCAGATAAATGACAAAACTTGGGATCTGACAAAGCCTCCATTACATTAACATATGGTGTAATGAGTTAATAATCTATGCTACAAAATTAATTCTTTCAACTTATCAGTTATTACATTCATGGTAAGGAGCACATACTCTGAGCAAGCAATAAAAGTCCATCTAATTAAATGCCATGATCATCAAAAACATTTCAACAGAGCAGTTAAAGAATATCCCACATCTCATAAATGCCAGACAGGTGACTATAATGCTATAAACCCCTTATTGCAGTGTTGCTGGTTAATGTCTCTGACATTATTCTACTCTTCCCTTCTGTGGTGTTATTAATTTGAAGCTTTAAGTGCTAGCATCCTAAGTATTTCTCCAGAAAGAACCAGCTGCATGGCTCTGGGTGATAATGATTATTATTATTGTTTATGATAGAAAGCACTGGAGGACAAGCTTCTTGCTCATCTCTGTGTATGATTTTGTAATATGCTGGTTTTCAGGGAGAATTGAGAAAAGTGCATGATAACCGGCAAAAAAAAAAAATTGCCAATATACAGTAATTCATTCAATGTTTGTAGCTATTTTACTTGGGAAAGATAATAAAATCTTAACTGACTTGATAAACATAATCATTAGACTCTAATACACCCTGAACATCACCTAAAGTATATGCATCTTCTAATCAACAGTTTCTTTTTTAAAAAATATGTGTGGTTTCTAAACTGTCTCACTTTACCTACTTCTGTGTTGAGTTTAATGACAGCTCATATTAAAGTTTTAATGTGATGTTTTCGTTGAGAAGGCTATGACTTGTTCCAGTAGGTAGCTCATGTGTTATCCTGTGAAGGGCTAATGATTAATCAAGATGAAAAGACAGGGATGGGGGTTAACTGAAGCATACATGCATGATTGATGTGGCTTACAGGAAGGGAGACAGTTCTGATAGGGAAACGCTACAAAATACTAGTTAGTGATCTTCACACTCATTAGGATGACTAATTAGAGTGACTACTAAAAACATACCAGAAAATGGCAAGTGCTAATTAGCAAGGACTGGAGAAATTGGAGCCCATGTACAATATTGGTGGGAGTGTAAAAAAAAAAAGCCACTATGAAAAACAGTATGATCGCTCCACAAAAAATTAAAAATAGAATTACCATAGCATCCATCAATTCCACTTTTAGGTATATACCCAAAATAGTTGAAAGCAGGGACTCAGACATTTACCCTAATATACATCCATGTTCATAGCAGCATTATTCACAATAGCCAAAAGGTTTAGGCAACCCAAGTGTCCATCAGTGGGTGAATGGATAAACAAAATGCGGCATATACATACAATAGAATATTATTCAGTCTTAAAAATGAAGGAATTCTGACACATGCTGCAACATGGATGAATCTTGAGGACATTAAGCCAGTCACAAAAGGACAAATATTGTATAATTTTATTTATGAGGTATCTAGAATAGTCAGACTCATAGAGGTAGAGAGTAGAATGGTGATGCCAGGTGCTGGGAGGAGGAGGAAATGGGGAATCACTGCTTAATGGGTACAGAGGTTCAGTCTGGGAATATGAAAAAAGTTCCAAAATGAATAATGGTAACAGCACTCAGTAGTTAAAGTGGTAAATTTTATGTTACACATAGTATACCACCGTTAAAAAATACTAGTTAGGTTCTGGCTGGACCAGCATCCTGTACACTCAAAGGTCGCAGGGTCAATTCCTTGTCTGGGCACATACCCCACCCCGTCACCACACTGTTGTCCATGACCATGAGTTCTCTTTTTTTCTTTTTTGCTCATTTCCTCCACCCCCATCAACACCCACCACCACCACCACCACCACCACCACCACCACCACCACCAGAGCTGTCTGCCTGCTTCCTATCTATGAATCTGTCTCTATTTTGCTTGGTAGTTCAGTTTGTTCATTAAATGCCACATATGCGTGAAATCATACAGCACTTCTCTTTCCCTGGCTGGTTTATTTCACTTAGCATAATGTTCTCCAGGTCCATCCATGCTGTCACAAAGGGTAAAATTTTCTTCCTTTTTATGGCAGAGTATACTAACCTAATTTTAAAAATCAGACTCTTCCTTTTCTCCTGCATATGTATACATATATAAACAATGCATTATTTTTCTTTTGATTTGAATATTTAAAATGTTACTGTGTCACATATATTCCTGAAACTTGCTTTTCTCACTCATTATGTTTCTGAAATTAACCCTATTTGACAACAGTAGCTATAGTTCCATTCATTTTACAGATGTGTGATATTCCATTGTTTGAATATACCACAATAAGTTTATCCATTCTCCTGTTGAAAATTCAGGTTGTTTTCAGTATTTTTTGTTTTGTTTTGTTACTCTGAACATGGATGTTGTGAACAGTCTGTGCTTGCCTTCTGGTGCACTGTGGAAAAGTTTTTCTAAGATGCAGGTGGGAGAAGAAATGCTGGCTTATAGGCCAAGTTAGTGTCAATTATCAATTTTTTTTTAAAGAAAAAACAAGTGGAAACTGACTTCTAATCCTGATCACACATGCACCATTTCTAATCTGTTTCCCTAGTTTTTTTGTTAACAGTCTCTCTAATTTACCTTTTATAAACTATGGTGCCTCCTTTTACTCCAAAGAAATGCCTTTTCTATCCTAGTATTTGAATATTTTCCCCAGAGAAGAGCTCTGCTTCCCTATATTGTACATTTCCAGTTGATCTTCAAGCCCAAGTGAAGGTAATTCCCATCCTCTACTTCCAACTCCCAACAATCCCAAAGCTTTTTAACTGAATGTTTCTAGTTTATTTAGAAATTAATTCCAACCATTAAGCACCACTTT